GTAATTGGCCTAGAATCCAGGGGGTGCTTTTTGCAATTATCTGAAGATAAAGTGTCACTCCACAGCAAGAGACATTAGCACCTATTTTCAGGAAGAAGAGTAACATACACATATGTCAAGAAATTAATAGCCATTATTTACTTGAAGGACATAGTTGAAAATCAGTATTTTCGACCAGAAATTTGTTATGAAGCCAACAGTTGGTTCCATAGTAGAGCCAACATTTTATATACAACAAGTAAATCATATCATATTAATAAAATTATTGTATTTATCTAAGTACTCAAAGAATATAGTATGGTTTAGTTGTTGTATATAGAAAATTGGCTCCACTATGAAATCAATTGTTGACTTCACGGCAAAACCATTTCGACCATTAAACTAATTTGTGAGAAACTGCACCGTACTTTCCATAAGTCAATGATAGATATTATTGTCCCCCAACCTTTGACCAGACATAAAAAAATAAAAAATAAAAAATATTTAAATATTTAATATCCCTATTATCTTTTTCAAATCTAACCACACCTATCAAGTTATGGTTTCAACTTTCAACCATTAGGGATCAAGCTCAGAGCCTTGAAATGTGTCAGCAAATCTGTTTAATTACTTCCATAGATGCACCTCATACATATAAAATGCATAGAATGAGCAAGTTGACTAGCAAATTTTTAATTTATGAAATGAAAAGTAAACTTAAAAAAGAGAGACAATAATTAATGAAATGTTATAATAACACAATTTACTTATCATGCATGTTTCAACTTTCAAGTAGAAGTAGATATGCAAGAACATGATAAGCAATGCTGTGACATCAACTGAGGATGATTGATAACTACATCAACATATATTTTAAGCTCCTCAGAGAAAATAAAGTTGAGAATATGATGGTGACAAGTCAACTCATCAGATAATAGCAAGAACACAAGAGATATGTAATTTGAGACCAATTACAAGCTTTAGTTCATTTAAAGAACAATTCTTGACCAGATAATAATAGCAAGAATACATGAAATATGTAAAATTTGAGATGCTAATTAAACAAAAACCATTTCTTGACTTCCCATTCGATCCGTACCAGTAAGCACCAAACGATCATCGAAAAGTTCGACATAACCGAAAGCATCCGTACCCGGAGGACACTCCAATGCCGCCTCGAGAACCCGATGATGCACGCCGTACGAGTCCACACAGTAACTGCCCTGGTGCTCATGCCCACCAAAGCAAACCTTCACACATTTGTACCTATGTATTACTTCCATCACCTCATCATAATTCCACAACAACGAGTCGTTCGTCGAGGCCCTTGGCTCTAACGGTAAATGGCAGCATATTATTACTTTCTGATTTAATTTAGTCGCATCCTGAAGAATATAATCCAACCACTCTATCTGTTCTGGGCCCACTGCACCGTTGAACATGAGATACCTCCTTTCTGGCCCCACGAGCCCGTTTGGGCTATTCTTGTCCGAATTCGGGTTTTTCTCGTTTAACAAATTCACCGCCTTTATCGCGTTCGGGTGGTCTTTCGACCAACCTATGGCACTTATATCATAGCCATCGAGGACAACGAATCGAAATTCGGGGATTGGAGAAAAATCGTAATACGCTCGGCCATCATCTTGGGAAGGAATATTCAATAAAGGGAGTAACTTCTCACGAGGTAGATTGTAAAGACAGTGGTTACCGATCATGTGGTACGTGGGCCCGTCGAAAGAACGAAATTCTTCGAGAATTTTCGTGATTGCGTCTAGAGATTGGTCCTTGGGGCAGAAGCCATCGATAATGTCGCCGAAATTGACGGCGAATTTCAGTTTTTTCTCGTTCCAATTTCGCACTGCTCTTTGTAAAACGAGAAGACTGTGCCGATAATAACGAGGGACACCTAAGAACGAGCGGCCATCGGGAATATCGGCATATTGGACATCTGATATTACACCAAAAGAGATAAGAGGCTGCTTTGTATGGGTGCTGGCGACTGCGTTTCCATATCCCATCGAGCAGCAAAACTTCAAGCTTAGAAAATTAGAGAAGCTTTAACACCTAGGATTAATGTCTAAAGTTCTGCATTAACATATCGAAGGGTTAACAGTCCGGTTTAAGCATCGAATACCATTTCGTCTGAGTACTACTCAATCGAAAAACTCGGGCTCCGGCAATGCAACTGAAACTGCTAATAACAACAAATTTTCCCAAAATAACAAGTCATACAGTTACAGCTAACCAAGTTTCAATCTTTACTCCAAATAAAGCAGTATGTAACTACCAGAGGGATTAAATTTCCTCCATTTTTTCTGATAGAAGAACAAAATAGGTGATTAGAAAATTTAATTATTGAATCAAATCGAACAATCGGAGCTCAACAGCTTAACTTAAATTCAAGGTCCTCAACTGAAACACCTCACATTATACTCTAAAATCCCCAAACAGTAAAACAAAGATGAGTCATAAAAACAAGAAACCCCTATTAATTGGGGTTTTTTTTTCAGAAAAAAAAATGTAAATTTCTCAAATACTTACGATTCAATCCCAGCACGATTTTATTACACCATACAGCTCGAACTAAACAAACGATTGAACGAAAAAAGAACATAATACATTAGAAGCAAGCTACCTGTCTTTATCCAGAGATCTTTGCTCCAACGTTGTTTCAGTGTTTTCTAGCTGCAACAGAGTGTATGCAAAGAATCGAGAGGAGAAGGTACTTGAAACGGTGTCGTATTGACCATTTGTGGACACAGAAAATTTATTTATTTTTTGTCCAAAAAATTGAATCTATTGCAATATTTATATTAGTAAATAAATAATATTGGTTTCTGTTGTAAGAGGAAATAAAAATATTAAGAGCACTGTGTATTTGGATATAGATTATTTAAAGAAGAAAAAAATGTCTAAATAGTGAAAAATGTGGAAAAATAGTTTTAGGTGGAATAATGAATTATTTTGAGTTTGTGAATAATTGTAGGTATGATATAAAATAATAAACAATATTTATAAATGATTGATTTATATGTAAATTGTGTTAATCAAATTGAAGCGAAAAACATAAAATTAGATGAAAAGTTATTTTTTAGGAAAAAAAAAAGAAATTATTTAAGCCAATCTCATACTCCCCCCGTTTTAAAATGTTTGTCGTTTTGACTTTTTTAATTCATCCATTTTACTATGTATCTAGACAATAATATTTTAAAACGGAGGGAGTATTGAGGGACAAAAAAATAAAAAAATAAAAAAATAAAAATTACACCAACAGTTTCACAGCCCCACAAGAAGCACAAGCTAGCTTAACATGTTTCCTATATTGTAACCAGTCCAAATGATAATGTTGCATGACAAACACCACAAAATTGAGCAAAAAAACACTCTAAAATCTAACTATTAATACAAATATGAAATAACCACAACAACAGCAACTGGAAAAAACAAGCTTATGCTAGCTCAGTTTTAGCTTGTATGATATAGAAATCGTATACTATTACACGAGTTTGTGGACGTTGTAAGATGACTTTTTCTCCCGAACTATGAGGGACCTTATTCGCTTGGCTTTTGGAAAACCAAGAAGCTCGTTTTCCAATCTAGTCGGACAGTTTTTATTCCAATTCTCCAGTTGAAATTTATCGAACATTGCCACTTTGGAGTATCTGCTGAACAAGCTTCTCTGGCAACTTCTTTGTAGCCTGAGAAAATACACAAATGGAGCAGAAGTCAATAGTGATACGATATACTCGGTGACATATATTTTCATGGGCAAAAAAGGGGAATCTTCGAAAATGCAAGATCATCACCTGAAAATGTCTCATATGTAGAATTGGCTCACAACCTACATCAGCTATAAGATTCCCGTTTGGGGTCTGAAGACTAAACCGTCCGGCTTCATAAGCTGAAAGATTATTTTTGTCGTGGGGCAAACTGTGACAAACTTTGAGGAGTGATCCAAGAGAGTTCATCTGTCAAAAATGAAGGAAATGAAACTCCCGACTCGAAATTACATTATTGAAAATGGAAAGAAAATAAGGACGCGGGAGTAATTAGTAATGCTGCCCCTGTGATTTAGCCTAATTACAAGAAAAGCCATCCACAGGTCAAAATTAATGACGCCCCTTCAACATTTAATTTTTTTTCAAGGATTCGAAATTCACCTACTGATGGAGACAATTTGAGGTAGTAGTTCTTTTCTTAGAATATTTATGATAAAGCTGAGATAAGGGGTTGATATGATACTCTACCTAAAGAAACTCTACTCCTGTAGGCCGTGATTGGTATGCGACCAAAATCTGTCAAAACCAATTACTTAATTTTTGTACTCACTTTAATGCAAATCCAACTCAACTTTAACTCACTATAACTCTCTTACTTTCTATCAATATAATTAAATAATACCAATTAATCATCCTTACACATAACATCAACTTTACTTTGCTCATATAATTTTACCTACCTATCACTTCCAATAATAATCTTTGTCCAACTTTTACATCACACCAACTTTAATCATTAATCTCTCTCATTCCACTTTATTAACTTTATTCAAAATAACTAACTATAACCCATGATCTGATCAAAATCGATTTTGATCTGTTACCAACCATTACCGCAACGTCTCGTATGAGCTACAATGCTTTGTCATCTATATGTAACTTCAAGGAGCAATAGAAGTTTTCCTTTTTTCTCATTTCAAAAATGAGTATAAGTGTGCATTTTTATTCGAAAAGTATGATGGGTGAACCTGTCTAACCGCTATACTGCCTCACCCTAGAGTTTGTTACCTATATCTTAAAACCTTGAGTGTTGATTTTGTATCTATTCACAACTGAGATTTCATAAGCACTTCGATTAAGCATAAAATTTTCATAAGCAACAAGTGCATCCATCAAAATGACAAATTAATATCTTCAAAAATATACAACAATTAACAGCAAAAATAAGCTCAATAGATTTTAGCTAACCTTCATATAAGGACAAGATGCACATCCACCATGAATCGAGCACCCCTCCCCACTCGCAACACCTGGTATTAACGATAGCTTCGAGAAATCATCCCCCGCTTCGCGTGAGGAAGAGCTCGGCATTTGAGTTACGGACTCCGATGAGACGGGAAAGACTATCTCCACCGTAACCCTATGGCCCTCGTGGGCCCCATGGGGTCCCGATAATAATCCCTTCACTGCAGAAACAATCGAGGTCACCATACCCGATTCGGTTCCCAAAACAAACTGGAGATGATCATCAATTTTCCTGTCCAAGGCCTCTTGCAACCTCTCTTTGATGAAATCTAGGATGTTTTGTGTGGACCCCACGACTCCCATCCCTCTCTGCTTAGCCTCCATTGCCAAGGAGAACATCTCGCCAGGGACTTCAAAGTGGGCGGTTAGAAACGAGTCGCAGTACATTTCTTTTAGTTTGTTGACAACATCGTGGCCGAAGAGGTGATGGACAATGCATGTCCCCTCCTGCCAAAAAAATAAACAAACAAAATATTAATTACCAAAAAAAAAAAACCTATATTTTCGTTTATAAAAAAATGAACAGCATCCTGACATGGAAATGTTTGTTCAGAACAGCATAAAATTTGAGTACTAATCCAACGAACGAATAATAGCCTCGCCTCCAATTATAACTTCTTAATCTACCTGAAAATAGTGGAGGCGGGGTATCAAAGATTTTATAGAGCTCCTGTTGTGTTTCGGATGTACACTTGCTACTTCTTCATCACTCATCAAAGTCATCTGTTGGAACAACTCCATAATATTTGCTCCCATGTAGGTGTCAGGACCATACCAAACATTCAAATCAGGAATTTCTGCAAATGCCTGGAGAAGAAAAAAAAATATAATATTTACCAGATGCAGATTCATTTTAAAAGGAAAAAAGAAAGAGGGTGAAAAGTTTTGATTTTGATGAAGAAGAGCAAAAGACCAACCTGTAGAATAGTTTGCACAACGTTAGAAGAGGTACATGTTATTGTTGGCACAATTTCGTGAGAATAAGCTTTGGTCTCTAAGGAGGTGTTAATGTACACAACATGCAAAGATGGAGAAGAAACAGAAGTTGCAGCTGCTGATAGGTAATCCATATATGCTGGGCTAGAAGCAGCATCAGCCAAGGAGCAGCCAATTCGTTCATCCGCCATCCTGTATACACCGACCTGACCAACATTCAAAGTTAAAAAGAAATAAATAATCCTTGGCATTGGTTTACTAAACAAAATATCCGTCTAGCTTTTTGAACTACAAATACTTCCCTGAGATACTAGCTTCTATTCTAAAGATTCTCAACCTCAGCAAAGGTACATTTGCAATTTTGAAAAATAATGACTAGTTTTAACCATAATCGAGTGAAACATTATGTTCCCTCTTGTAATTAACTCAACAGTATGAACAAGAAAAGGCTAAAAAACGGTTTCATGGATAAAGCTGAAGTTATTTGGTCAGTAAGCCCATGCAACTGCTTAGACATTCAGAACAATAAGAATTATATATATAAATATATAAACAGAAAAGGATAGTCAAGGTACAGTACCTCGGGAAATCCAGCTTGATCTAGGATAGCACGCACATTTTCAGACATAAAATCTACACCAAGGACAGTGATGAATTTGCACCCAGCTTTAGCCATCTTCACAGCAGAATCAGCCATAACCAAAGAATCAGATATGTGAATGTGAGGCCAGAACTTTTGTGCAGCTGTTAAAACGCCTTGAACCTCAGGGTCCATGTAAAAATGTGCAACTACGCCAATTTTCTTCTCCTTCAGCAGATTCACTAGCTCTTGAATTTTTATCTCATTAGGAAGCAGAAATCTAGCCTGCAATGAACTATATTGGAACTTAGGACTTCTAATAGACAAGATATTAACATAAACAAGACCACGTGGGCAGGATGAAACTTGGAGGTGCAAATTTATGTTATCTCATAACCCTACAAGCCCAAAACTATATTTGTTGAAAAAAACAGAGAACCCAAAAATTATATCCTCTATGGTTTAAATTTGTCCAGATTAAATTAAGTCCCATTACAAAAAGCTTGAGATTCTTGATTTAAATAGTAAACAGATTGAATAGATAATTACAGAGCAACACGGAGAAAACAAATTGTGGATAATCTAATCCAGCACAATGGAAAGAGAAGTAGAAAACAGGGGAACTCAATACCTTAAGGATACAGGTGTTGCTAACTGATCACAATTCTTGGCGATTATTACAAAATTTTATTAGATTTAAATTATCTTATCAAACAGGGAAAAAAGTCCAAAAATCTCTGAGGAAGGAGACACAGTCCACCCAATTCCTCACACAGTATATCTCTGCCTCATAATTGTATCCATCGACACTAATCACAAAGGCCAACAGGAGACCCGCTCAACACTCTTTATTACGATAATTATCAGAGGCAAAGAAGAGAATAGCAAATAGCAAATGCGATTAAATGTTATTTATATATTGGAGATTGCTAATAATGGACTAGATCAAAATGACTCAATTAAATTCTAGTGCTTCTTCTATTAGTGAAGTTTCTAGAAAAAAAAAATATATCAAACGACGCAATGCACCTTGGGTCGCTACGGAAACAACCACCTTGTATAATTACAAGGGTAAGGTCTGCGTACAACTGATCCCCCAGACCCCAACCAGTTGAAAATATACTTGGTATGTTGTTTGTTTTTATATATTCCTTTCAAACCCAGAACCCCCAACTCACTGAAAGTCTGAACTGCAATACAATGAATAACTCCTACAATTTGCCAACAAAATAATGACCCAATTTCATGCTTCAAAGCTCATGTCTGCAGTATGAAAGAAATTTATTGGCAACTTGGCATTTACCTACAAGATGCCAGAAAATGTCCCAATGCCCGCATTTTAGTACTCACAAATGAACCTAGTAAACTCGTGTTATTTGATTAATCCTATCAGTCACTTAAGTTTAAACACTTCCATTTTTCATTTTATATGGTTTCCACTTCCCAGCTTCTAGAACTGTTATCATAAGAATCCAGATCATGCCTTCACTAAACCAGTATCTCTCTACACACAACACATACCATAAATTATGTGGTTACTAAGCAAAATTTCCCACCTGAGCTTCAGCATAACTTCCTTTGGCCTGTATACCATCAGCACTCACAATCAATGACGGGAAAGGCTCGCCACGTGGCCGACCTTCCCGCTCGGCCACCAGAGCCTTAGTTCTCTTCTGCATACTCATCAATACATTGTGCCAAGTATTAGCCCTACTGCTACTTGAATAGCCGCCTTTCCTCCCATTTGACCCGACCACATTCAATGCTCCCAAATCTTCGGTTTTTACAGCCAAAACCTCATCGGGACTCGCCCCATCGAGCACCCACACCAAACACGCGCAAAACCCTTTTGTAATCTCCGAATCACTTTCAGCAGAGAAACTCAACCTGTTATCATCGCCCAGCTCTACATGCAGCCAGACCTGAGCTGTGCACCCTGGGACGCGGTTATCCGTGGTCTTCAGTGAATCCTCAAATGGAGGCAGAGTTTCGGCATACTCCAGAAGCTTCTTCACGCGGTCGACCGGATCAACCAGCGACTGGAATTCCTGAATGAGGATCTGCAGCTTTGCTCCGGCGTCAGCGGCGGCGGCCTTCAGATTGCCTCTGCTGGAGGTTTTGGTGTGGTGGGAGGCGACGGACGCGCAGGCAAGACGCGTTCTTGCGACGGCTTTAAGAGGATGCACACAATTCAGATGTGAATTTTGCGAGGAAACACAAAGGGCAATCGGCAACGGCGATGTGGGTTTATGGGCCGACGTGCGACCCGATTTAGGGTTTATGCAATTGCAGAATAGAGATGGAGAGACGGCTCTCAGGGAAAGCGCCGCCGAGTCCATAGATCTTCTCGTCTCAAGAGAACAAAATTGAGAGAAAAAACAAAAAAAGTGGAGAATGACAAAAGCTTCAAGTTTTCCTCTCAAATCGATTAGGAATACGATCTAATTGTAACTTTGTGTGTGTTGTAGAGAGTGATTGAAGGTTGTGAGATAAAGCGAAGCAGAACAAAAATGGATAAATGGAGGAGAAGAAGGAGGGCTTCTGTATAAAATGCGCGGTGGACGAGAGCCTGAAAACCTAATCACGCGCCAAAAAGAGCAAGAGTGTGTCATGTGGGGCTCACGTGAAGAATGTGCTACGAATAGATCATCATGTAATCGTCTTGTATAAAATGTGCGGTGGACGAGAGCCTGAAAACCTAATCACGCGCCAAAAAGAGCAAGAGTGTGTCACGTGGGGCCCACGTGAAGAATGTGCTATGAATAGATTATCATGTAATCGTCTTGGATAGTTGATTTAACGTTACAAATCTAACAGAATGGTTGAAATGTAGAATCTCTTTTTTGCCTAATTTTGAATTTTTGATGTGTGAGAGACTATAGTTGAGAATACAATTTTACCATTGTTTTGGCAATGGGCCTTTTGATGTTGGGCCCTTCTGAACCAACAGTATCTAACTCAGGCGAAAATTTGATCCACTCACGCCCAATTAATTAAGACATACAACTATTTATTAATTTGGCTTTTACTAATAATGAGAAAGGGGCATGTGATGAATGAAACAAGATAAGATGGGATGCATGATTGTATGTATGTGGTGCCAATTAATTTGAGCAATTTTGTAATATACTTCTTTTTGCATACATATTGTGATTAATATAACATACCTTTCGCATTTCCCTTCAATGAATATGGTGCAGTTCAATTATAATCTCTGTAAGTCGCATACATTTTTTATCTTTTTTTTCTAAATAAAAAAGCATGAATGATTTTGAACAATTGATTCTACCTCTCTTTTCCTTCATCTTCTTCATAACCCTACTTCGACAATGGCGCTCCATCGCCTTCCGGCATGCGAAAAACTTGCCGCCATCTCCAAAAGGGCTTCCGGTGATCGGAAACCTCCATCAGCTCGGCACATCTCCTCACCGCTCGTTACATTCTCTGTCAAGGCGCTATAACAGTCACGATCTGTTGTTGCTTCGTTTTGGGCGTGCTCGGGTGCTTTTGGTCTCGTCGGCAATAGCCGCACGTGAGGTGATGAAAAACCAGGACGAGATCTTCTCGAACAGACCCAAGCTAAGCATGCCGGATAGGCTGATGTATGGTTCGAGGAGTGTTGCTTTTACTGCCTACGGTGAATACTGGAGACAGGTGAGGACATATAAATAATCGAGACACGTCTATAAAGTATTTTAAAGTTATAAGTTTTCGGAAACTTGTACGGAATAAAACAATTGTTCTAGTTGAATTTGAGTTGAGAGACAGAGTTGAGAAAACAGAACCATCTTTGATGATCAGTTGAGTAAGTTGGTTTGATTGACGAAAAACGAAATTTCGCTCGCTCTTTAATACAAGTCCTTCTAACACAGAGTATTTATTTTTTTTTTGGAAAAAAATTATGTACATTTCTAGGTGAGAAGCATATGCGTGATCCAGCTCTTGAGCACCAAGAGGGTCCAATCTTTTCGTGTTGTCCGTGAACAAGAAACGTCGATTATGGTCGACAAAATCAGAAGACAATCGGGATCTTCATCGCCGGTTGTAAACTTGAGCAATCTATTGGCCTCACTCACGAGCGATGTCATTTGCAGGGTAGCATTGGGTAGAAAATACGGCGACCATAATGTCGACGACGGCACAAAGTTCAAGAAGCTTCTAAAAGAGTTCAGCGAGTTATTCGGTGCCACGAGCTGGGGGGATTACATACCGTGGTTGGGTTGGATTAGTCGTGTTAATGGGCTCCACTCGAAAGTCGAGAGAGTTGCTAAACAGTTTGACGAGTTCTTGGAGAATGTGATTCGAGAACATAAAGATCCGGGGAGAAAACAAGTAGATCGAGATGGAGAGTTGGACTTGGTCGACGTATTGCTCGAGCTTCAGAGGGAGAAATCGGAAAGTAGAAGCTCGACGAGTGAAGATGAGACAATCAAGGCTCTCATAATGGTAAGATTTAAACGAAATTCTTCAAATATACTTTTCATACGATTCGTGTGATGGAAACTTTACGAAAAAAAAAAAACTTCACGACAGGACGTGTTTGCGGCAGGGACCGACACCACATCCATTGCTATCGAGTGGGCAATGGCGGAGCTCATAAAGAATCCGAGAACCATGAAAATCGTGCAGAATGAAGTTAGACGAGTAGCCGGGAGTAAGAAAGAGATAGTCGAGCCCGACCTAGAGAAAATGCCGTACCTAAAGGCCGTGTTAAAGGAGGCTCTAAGGCTACATCCACCCGGCCCGTTACTCATCCCTCGCGAATCGACTCGGGACACGAAAGTCATGGGCTACGACGTATCGGCCGGGACACGGGTCTTGATCAATGCGTGGGCCATTGCTAGGGACCCGAAATCGTGGGAAAATCCAGAAGAATTTCGACCTGAGAGATTCTTGGACTCGGGAGTTGACTTTTGGGGCCGGCATTTTGAGTACGTCCCGTTTGGGGCTGGTCGGAGGGGTTGCCCTGGAATTTCATTCGCGGTAGCGGTTAACGAGCTCGGGTTGGCCAAGTTGGTTTACCATTTCAATTTTGCACTGCCTAATGGAGAAAAGGAAGAGGATTTGGACATGAGTGAGGCTGAAGGATTTACTGTTTACAAAAAGCTTCCTTTGCTTGTCGTCCCTATGGTTGTAAACGAATCGAATCAAAGTGAATATTAAGATATTCGATTCGAATTCGTCAAAATATTAGAGGATTGGAATTCGTATTCGATTCGAAAGCGACCTCATTTTCTGATTCGTATTCGATTCGTGTAAAATATTTCAACATATTCGATTCGATTCGAAATTCTTTTTCAAAAAAATATTATAATTAAAAAAATTATAATTATAAAAATAATGTTTATGTTTTTCCTATCCAATTTGAGATAGGGCAAATTATTAATTTGAGATGTTTCACTTTTTATGTCACAAAAATATTAGGAATATAACAATATATATATATATATATATATATATATATTATAAACAAAATTTTATATTATATATTATTTTTAAAAATTATATAACTATCCTTAACTAATCGAATATTGAATTTCGAATCGAATAACTACAAACTCGAATTCGAATTCGCTAACCGTTCCAATATAATACATTATTCGTATTCGAATAATTCGAATCCGAATATTTCGAATTCAAATCATGAATATCGAATTCGAATATCGATTCGAATAAAAAAAATATGATTTGTTTACAAGCCTAGTCGTCCCCACTCTTTATGAGTAGAGAGTGTTGATTTTATTTGAATTTGAAGCATATTAATTATTAGAGTTGTTATTTGTATTTCATAAGTTGCTATTTATATTTTATAAATTGTATTAGAGTTGTTATTTGTATTTGATGTATAGAGTTGCTACTATTCCTAAAGCAACTTAGACAAAGTGTGTTTATAGGATAAGAGTATAAATACCCTTATCTTGTACACAAACCCTAAGTAATTCCATTATTCATCTTCGCCACATCTCTGTTCATCTCCTCTCTCTCTCTAGCTCTCAATCTCTCTCTCAATTTCATTCAGGTTGTTCGATTCAATCTCAATATGATATCAGAGCACAACTAAGTTAAGATCCATATGCATTATAAAGTTGTAGATATGGTGACTTTGAGAAAGATTACTTTTGGTGATATATGTAAGTCTTGATTGTTTTTGGTATACAATGACATTAGTAATGAAAGCGGGGTATTTAAAGAAAAAACAAATGCAAAAGATCAGACTATTAAACATATGTTCACGATACTCTAGAGATGAGACCCGTAATTAAGTACTAACAAAACGAGAACAATACCAGTTACAGATTAAAGTCTCGAATCTGACAATTAAACTATGAACATTCAAAATAGTTACCCTAACTAAATCAAACATAAATAATTCATATATAATAAAAATAGATAGGATAAATCAACTCATCAACATATATAGAGTCAAACTTTCCTTCAAACTAGATAAACATACTAACCTAATGTACTAACAAAAATAAATATAAATAAAAGAGAAAATATTATTATCTCCTTGGCGTGCGGTGAATTCAGCGTGTGTAGCCCTTTCTCGGCTTGTGCATTTGTGTTTATCCTGCTATTCGTGCTACTGCTCTCTTCGGAAAATAATAATAATAATAATAATAATAATAATATTGTTGGAGGTGTTTAGCTTCTTCTTCCTTCTGGGATCGCTGATGCGGGCTTCACCTTTGGTGATGCTTTGGAGGTGTTTAACAGGGTTGCAGATACTGACTTATTTGGTGCTTCTAGTGAGATTGTTGCCCCCAAATTCATGAAGAAATTGGCAGATATATATTTCACTCGTGTTATCGATTCGGCGGAATCTGTATTCTCCTTATCTCCTAGGCAGGTGGCCTTGTGGAAGTCGCAACAGGGTGATCACGCATCAGATTGGCTCCGCGCAGTCCCGATTT